TCAGTGGAAGCGTAGTTGCCGCTTTGAAATTATCTCGTTTTCTTGTTGTTTGAACCATACCCTCAATACATTGAGCTATGTACTCTGGTAACCTTCACTTTGAGCAGTGGCGTACCCAGGATTTCGGCTCGGGAGGGGGGGGGGGACAAAAAAATTTTTCCGATGTAGGTGCGTGGCGTCAGCCACGCACTCCGAAAATTTTTTTTGGTGTGCTCTCTACAATTTTCGCGGACTCGAACCCCGAAATTTCAGAAAAAGGTGGCGTGGCCTCAGCCACGCCCCCGAAAAAAATTTTTATAAGGCTAAAATGAATTTTTAAAAAATTATAAAAATTGTTTTGATCATTTACAAGTATAAACGAGTCATTTGAACCATTTTATAACCCAAGTAAGTAATTTTCAAAAATTTTGCGACCCATTCTCGGGGAGGGAGGGGCGCCCCTCCCTCCTCGGTACGCCACTGCTTTGAGGGCCATGACAGGACACAATCTTCACTTAGAAAAAAGCCCTAGATGTTATGATTATGATTATCGGAATGAATGTGATAGAAGCAAATATAGGGAAGAATATAAGAATATCCTTGAATTATCTCAGCGAAGCGAACGTTTCTGTGAAAATTTCTCCAGAATTTAGGACAGCATTTCTCAGTAAACCTCTTATTTGACCAAAATTGAGTTCCTGAAGTTTAGGAAAGCTGCTGGAATTAGGTAAGAGCAAAAAACTGCGCTTAAATCTATGCAAAAAGTCGCGCACGAAAATGCTGGTTTAGTTGAATAGTGATTTTCAACGACTGGAACGTTATCAGTGCTCCTAGCCGTGTCATGACGATCAGAATGATATATATTGTTGCACGATTTTGTTGAGACTCCGCGAAGATTTACGATAAGAGCTAAATGCCCCGTCGGCTCTGGTCTGTCTCCGCTGCTCTTCTGCGTCTCCGCGCGCTGCGCGCTACCTAGCTACCCCAAACACGGTGCACGGGGTATTTGGCTCTGGTACCCTCTTCTTCGCTGTTTCGAACCCCGTTTTAGCAAGCTATATATCGTACCAGCCTGCTTACCCGGCTCCGCTCGGCTCTGTCAAAACACTGTAATAAAGGTCCCATTCCTATCCCTTGAAGCCTTTTCCTGTGCCCACTTCTACACTTCATTTCTCGTTCCCTGGTTGTTTTCGAAATCAGCATCCCCAGTGCCAACTCCCAGCCCTTCAACTCAAATTTTGAAAAATCGATAAAATCGATAAAAGTAATTGATAATTCTGAAAACTAATATTGTATTCGGAATCGCCATGCTCACTTACCCCCCTGTGCCAACTCCCAGCCCCGTAGGTAAACTCGGCAAATAAATCGATGGAAATTGATAAAATCGATATCGATCGACACGAAAAGTACCCTATGACACGCTTCCTGCCCCGAAGTATATGTGTGCCAAGTTTGGTCTGGATCGGTTTAGAAATAAAAATTTCTATTCCGCACATACGTACACACAGACAGATAGACAGACACACATTTAGCTTTATATACAGGGTGTTCCAAAAAAATGTTTCGAACGTTTGATCGTTAATACTCTCTTCCCAAGAAGTCTTTTGCCTTGCTTCAGGTACCGTTTTGTAGAGCTGGCTTCAGCTTAGATTTGCATTATAAAACGAATCACCCATCTCTCTTCATTACTGTAGGATTACGGTAGAAACTTCAAAGAGGGTTTTGAGCCATGAAAGGCCATATTTTGCCTCAAAAAAGAAACAAAACAGCCTGAAAACTTTTACACTAGGCTAATTAGAGTTGCTGATTATAACTGTAAAGTTCCCAACTTGTTATGATGCTTCATTGAAGAGTTATGCCAGGTAAGAGGTAGCGGCCATTTTTTCAATGTTCTTAAAAAGTGCGATTAAACCGTTTAGAAAGCTTCGTAATCTTGTGAATAGTTTAGCATTGAACTCAGCGTCCATAGAAACCCTATTACACATGTTTTCACATTATTTTGGAATTTTTTGAAAAGGCAGCTTTTCCATATTGACACCACATGTTTCAAGTTTCTACCGTAATCCTACAGTAATGAAGAGAGATGGGTGATTCGTTTTATAATGCAAATCTAAGTTGAAGCCAGCTCTACAAAACGGTACCTAAAGCAAGGCAAAAGACTTCCTGGGAAGAGAGATATTAACGATCAAACGTTCGAAACATTTTTTTGGGACACCCTGTATAAGATTGAAGCTCTTGATCTCTACTTTCACTCTGACAACGTCCCAAAACCACATTTTTTGATTTGAACGAGAAATTCGGCAAAAACACTGTTTTTGAAAATCTATTGTTTTCCCCTAGTTTAACTCTTTTCACGCAACTTTTTCGTGTATTGTATAGATCTTGCTTTTGACCATAATGCAGGCAACGACCCACTGCTTATCTCTTCGATAATGGCGGAATTTTGTGGGAAATCGTGAAAGTGCGTTTTTCTCTACCTTGTTCTGTTCTAGTGCTTTCGCAACACAACTTGAACGATTATTGTTCATAATAATAGCGCAACAATCTAGACAACGTCCCAGGAAACAGGAACGTCAATATGGGGGTAAAAATTCAAAGGACGCATCAAAAACTGAATTTGGCTTTGACGTGCATTTCGACTCGGTGAAAAGGAAATTTTGCATTTTCATAATTAATACATTGACGACCATGCAGATTTCTAGTTGTCTGCTACTTGGGACCGAAGCCTCTCATGGACTAGTCAACATTCTTTAGATTAAATTCAGTGCAAAGGAAAACCTCTAAAGTGAGTTTGTTCCAAAATAATAGTCATTCTAACGAGATACAAGCCTTGACGCACCATGTGTGTCAAGCGGTCCCACGCAGTAGTCATTGCTTGACACACCATGAGTGTCAAGCGGTCCTCAATGTGCTAATTTCATTCTTGTTTATCTTCTTTTTGAAAGCCACTACTTCCGAAACATGGTTTTTTTGAACAATCACAATACAGAAATCAACTTTTCCTTGTTTTCCTCCGTGTTGCGAGATGCAGGTCCTGGTGCGGAAACCTGCACTTTGAAAAGCCTCCAAATGAACGATTTGGGATCGGCCATACTATTCCTGTTATTCCTACGACTCCTGCGATTCCTGTGAGTCCCGCACAGTTTATACGCCGCTTAAATGAGCGTTGCGTGTTACGTGTTGTTTTACGCAACACGCGCTCATTTAAGCGGCGTCTAAACTGTGCGGAACTCACAGGAATCGCAGGAGTCGCAGGAGTCGTGGGAATAGCAGGAATAGTATGGCCGATCCCTTTCAAACCTCAATGCAGCATTTTTATCTAGTTTTCAGCAGTTTCTTTTGGTTTTTATAACTGTTTTGGTCTTTTTTCTTCTCTGATCTTCTATAAACAACTTTCACTTTATGTGAGGGCAGATTTCAAACAACCTTCGCTTTTGACGCCCTGTCTTTAGACTATCGAAGGTATGGTGCATACTTTTGAATGGACCATGTTGAAAGTTCGTAATGCTCTTGAAATTGGAGATCTAGGTTGTGTATAAATCCTATGCTTTCGAATTTTCGCTTGAATTTTCATAGAAAACACTTTGCTTTCCTCGACCCAACGGTGTGCAACATACCTAAACAGATCTTACTTCGAAATAAAACTTTGAATAAATGCAATGTCGAGAGATTTTGAGCCAACCTAATATAACGATGATGATCTAATACGGAAGGGATACTAAAGTGGCATTTTGAAAACAACACATAAATATATTAGGAGTCAGCTTGCAGCGCTGACTTTGAGAATGCAGTTGCTAGCTGCTGAGATTTATTCTAAAGGAAGTTATTGGCTTATTTACGTGCAAAATTTGCGTGCTCATAGACTTACGGATATAATGGCATCATCACCAGTGATGCTTTGCGTTAAGTTCCTTCACAACATAACAGACTCAGCTGATGATACGTATTTCGTTCCATCATATTTCTCCGCGATCTCTGCGCATAGGCTGTTTTTTCGTAATGAATACATGTAAAAAGACTCTAACTTGCTTCAGAATGAATCTCAGCAGCTATACAGTATTTGGGATTGGCGTTTCGAGTTGTTTCCGAATGTATGTGTCGTTTTTTCAAAGGTGCTATTCAAATTAGTACCCTTCCCTTGTAAGTAATATACAGCTAACCTTCAAATCACTTCCACTAGCAAAGACTTTGAGCTAGCCTGCAGCCATTTGTTTATTGCTGTTTATTGGATCACGTTGAAAGTGTTTTTCTTGGAGGCCAAGTATTGTCCATCGTTGCTGACGAACTTTGATTTTGATGTTAGTTCAGAATTGCATCAAACAAATCAATGATAATCAATAATCAATTAAACCAATACACTCTATGACAAACGAGAATGAGTTGGAGAATGGCGGGGCTTGGGAAGCACAGAGGCCAACCCAATTCAATACTACTTCAGACAGCTCATAATTGCAGATCTTTCGAAAACCGTTGGATGCATGCTGTCCGCGCCGTGCGCAAAATGCGAAATTGCGGACTCCTCCTTTCTCGTGCACTCTCGCTTCTCTTTTTCTCTGCTCCCTTCAACAAGAACTGTTTTAACGGATGCATTGCGTTGATACCAATAATCCGTTTCTCTATAATCAGTCTTTGCCCACACATCGAGTAAAAATTGTTACGAAGTGCTCTTGGCCAATGTCGGCGAAACAGAGGCAGCTGAAAAGCTGAATGAATGGTTTCCCGGAGAGAGCTGGTAGAAATGGGCCGACCTAGAAATGGGCCGACCAATTCTGCGAAATTCACATTTACCAAATGTACTCTCTGACAAGGGTGGACTACGCGAAACACATTAGCTCTTCAGTGTACGTAAGGCGCACCTTGTTTGTGCATCGGTTCGTTTCTCCGTATAGCTTTCCACTACAGATTCATTCAGTTCACATTTAGACATTTGCTATCTCTGTGGATAACATAATGTTTTTCCAAATAGGTGTTTTTGAATACTCTCAATAATTGTTCATACGCAAAAAATGTTGATTTTTCAGTCCACTGCCTCACAATTTCGTCGATACCGTCTACTCGGTACGAAATCCATCACTGCAAACGGCACGATCTGGAAGTGACAATCAAAGGTCAGTATTTTTGCTAACCTTTTCTCCAGCGATTGGTCTCTCGATAGCTTATGAAGTATTAGGGTTATCCTCTTGTGGGCGTGTGTATCCATTAGGTCGGTTCGAAAGTTCGTGTCGTTTTTCAGACCCATGCTTAGCCACTAGAGTAAAGATAGACAAAAGCTGTAAGCACTATCCGATGCTTTCTTCCTCTTTCTAATGGTTATGTTCCTATTCAGATTCCCTCGATGTCTGCTCAATAATCGGCAGGGATCTCCAACCCTTGATTTTCACACATCTTCAGTTTGGCTATTTTTTGAAATTTTCATTTGAAGTTTTTGGACTAGCTTTGATAACGGTTGGTTAGAATGAACAATATGCAATAACAATGAACTATTTTGGCTTTATCAACCAAATTTTCAATATTCTTAATACAACTTTTCCAAAAGCCCTTACTTTGGCGAGTCGTGAAATACACAATCGCTTCAAACACTGACAAATCTTTAGAATTTAAGGCTTTCAGAGACAGCTTATTAGTTAATGTTGGTTTTAGTAAACAACTGAGCGTTTAGCAGTTCAAAATATTGGATTCCGAATATTCTGGATACAGCCTGAGACGAGTCTGGAAACAAGAATTATACTGATTTTATCCTCATATATCATACAGATCAAGAAGAAAAGAAGTAATTCAGAAACAGGAGGAAAAGCTGCATCCAATGACACCCTGGTTGCTCGTCGTTTATTGTTCTGTGAGAGTTGGAATGCCCAAATATGGAATTTGATAGCATCAGAAAAATATTTTTGAAAATTTTGTGAACCCGGCTAAAGATACCAAAAAACTGCATTGCATAGCATTTTCTTTGTTCTATCGAAATGTTACTAAAGCCAGTCCAAAAGTTGAAAAGGGAAATTTTGAAAAATAGCCAACTGAAGATTGGTGAAAATCATGGGTTGGAGATCCCTGCCGATTATTGAGGAAAAAAAAGGGAAACTGAACAAAAGCATAAGCTTTGGAAAGAGGAAGAGATTCTGCATCGGATAGTTCTTACAGCTTTTGTCTATCTTTATTCTAAGTGGCTTGAGCATGGGTCTGAAAAACGGCACGAGCTTTCGAACTGACCTAATGTGTCTTCCAAATATATCTCTGCTTATGATGATTGCACTGGATCGTTTGATAATTCTGATCAGATGGGGAAGTGATGAGATCTGTTTCAAGTCAACTTTATCTGACTTTCTCTACTTTGCATCTATGCTTCGCGACGACATTGATTCCTCTTGGCTCTGCATTTGAATGTTTCCATTTGTAACCCAATCACCACTCCAGAAGATGGAACTGGGCAAAAAGTCGATGTTGGTCCTCTATCGTGCTTGTTTTCTTTCTGTGTCAAAGATTTCCTGGAATGCTATAGCAAGCTTATTTCTTAATCCAATTCACCTTCATATTCAAAGTTAATAGAGGAACTTTTGACTAATTGACATTTGATTGCCACTAAAATCTAGTAAATCAGACTACGCCATAAGTTTTTCTTCTTTTGCTTTTATTTTGCGAAAGCTCGTAATAATCGCAGATACTCTCCTTATTTTTCTAATCTCCATTTCATCATATGACCGCCTAAAAAACTTTGCAGACATTTATATTACTTATTGAATTTTGTCACGTCAAGTTAAATTTGATACTACAGTGCTGCCCATAGTTATAAATTCACCCTAAAAAAGCACTGCTTGCCCTATCTTGTTCGAAATTGTCGGAGAAACCACTATTCAGTTCATAATTTTGGCGGAAGAAAAACCGAAAATTTTGGAAAACGGGTTCTTAAGGCTCACAGCCTAGCTATACAGAGCTACCTCTCATTTTCGATCAATGCTACGTTCTTTGAGCTAAAAATTTTTTGTACGTGCATAGCAACACAAGATGAAACATTTGTTATACAATACCATCTTACAATAGCATCTTGTGATATATTGGAAGTGGGGGTACGATGTCTTTGATATTTGTTTCCAGTTTTCTCAAATTCCTGCGGAGGTCCTTTTGCGAAGATGGAAGCAACGCCTATCCACCATAGAAGTTTCCACCAAGTACTATTCAATAACCTTGTTTTTATAGATTACTAGCTGGTGGCCCCGGTCTTACCCGAGACTTCAAGTTAGTTAAGCCAACAGAACTTGTAAACTTACGCCTCTAGGTTTCTTCTATCATGCGCATAAAGCGCTTTCAGACTAAATGCCGCACCCTACCGACTTTGAGACTGAAATGGACTTTACCGCCCCTGCTTACACGCTTATATGTAAAAATGATCGGTTGCCATGATGGCCCTTCATTTTCTTAGGTTTGAGTAAACGAATCAATAAATCGATAGAATGGCCCGGCGAATCGCCGCGGAAAGTAGCTCTAAACCACCGCCGGGGTCAAAAACATACGTGTGCGAAGTTTCAGCCGGATCGGTTCAGTGGCGCGCGTTTCTATAACGAACGAACAACTAAACGAACATCCTCACAGACATTGAGTTTTATATATATATATATACAGGGTGTCCCAAAAAGATGTGCACACTGTTTGATTGTAAATAACTTTTTTGTGGTGAAGTGTTTCGAGAAGCTTTAGGTACCATTTTGTAGAGCGAGGTTCAACTTAGATTTACAGTGTAGAGCGGATCGCCAATCTCTCATTCTTACTGTAGGATTACGGTAGAAACTTTGAAGAGGGTTTTGAGCCATGAAAGGCCATATTTTGTTCCAAAAAGGAACCAAAACAACCTGAAAACTCTCACACTGGGCTAACTAGAGTTGCTGTTTCTAAATGTAAAGTTTGCAACTCTTCTTAATGCTTCATTAAAAAATTATGCGAGGTAAGCAGTAGCAGACGTTTTTTAAGTGTTCCTAAAAAGTGCGGTTACACCATTTAAAAAGCTTTTCAACCTTGTAAGAGTTGGGTTTTGAACTCAGGGTCCATAAAAACCCTATTACACAAATTTCCACATTTTTTTGAAAATTTTTGAAACGGCCCCTTTTTTCACAGTGACACCATATGTTTGAAGTTTCTACCGTACTCCTACAGTAAGAATGAAAGACCGGCGTTTCGCTCTACACTGTAAATCTAAGTTGAACCTCGCTCTACAAAATGGTACCTAAAGCTTCTCGAAACACTTCACTACAAGAGAGTTATTTACAATCAAACAGTGTGCACATCTTTTTGGGACACCCTGTATATATATATATATATATATATATATATATATATATATATATATATATATATATAGATTGTGCGCTAAAAATGGGCTCAGACTCCTTTCCAAAGGAGATGGAAGCGTTGGTGAATTGTGGAAAAATCACGCACTTTCAAATTCTACTCGCCCTTCGGGATAAGTATATGTCGAATCCGAAAGCAGCGCTTGCTCAGCTCATCAAGGGGAGTCTTTAAATATACAACATGTCCTTGATATTCCGATTCCAATATCCTTGAATCTTTCTGCGGACGTCTCTTCGCGAAGGTGTAAAGCAGCGAGCATGGTACCGAGTAAATTCCAGCAAGAATCTTTCGATAATACTTTTTCTGTAGATTAGACGCTAAAAATGTAGGCGCAGATTTCTTACCAAAGGAAATAGAAGGGTCGGCGATGTGGAATAATCATGCCGTTCTAAATTTTTCTCAATAACCCTGAAATATGGAGCTGTCTTGCTGAGCAGATGTGATTTTCGTAATCAGCGTTGGATAGCCTCTATGAGCAAGTTTTCCGAGATGTTCGGGTTATTCCATTTTTTCTCGTTTTACGCTCTGAAGCTCGCCGATATATTTTGATCAAAATGTCGACGATCTTGGATTGTAAAGAAACTCCGCTCATACAGGTTTTCGAACACGCTTTTTACGAAAATCACAACTGTGTCTTTGAGAATTACAGGGTCTTTTTGGAGAGATACGGTGAGGTGACTGTAAGTGAATCACGAAAGTGCGTCTTTGCCCGCACTTCTCGTGTATCAATCAGAGAACTTGCCTGCTTGCTTTTCTAAGTCAAAGTCACTAGGAACTGTGATATCAAATGGTGCATGACTCAGGCTCCAATCTATGAAAGTCGCCGAGTTAGAAGCCTACGAAAACACGTCCTCACGAATTTTGCCCAAAATGCAAAGTTCGCATATTTCGTCGAAGTTCCACGTGAGTGGTTGTATGACACTCGCATTGCGGATGTTCGCTGTTGTTATGTTCGCTTCGCTCAATGATAATCTACGCGGGCATTTTTACCGAATAGTGCTTACTAGAGTTTTCCATGTATATCCTGCGCAGCGTTAAACCACTGCGAATACCCATCTCCCCAAAAAATTCGAGTAAACTGAAAAAAGGAATAGCAAGATAGTGTAGTACATCAGGAGATTCGTCTTAACGCGCTGGAGCGCGCTTTCTTTTGGAAGGCTCTAATGATGCTGTCAGATCCTGACAAAGAGAAGAGGAGTTTTCAAATCAAACTGTACGCGGCACGTTTTTTTGGGTGCCAGAAAAAAGCTGGATGGGGTTGAGAATGGGTCAAGTATGCATTTGTATTTACCAACAGTCATTATCATAATGCAATAGTCAAATCAAGCATGAAATGTTTCGCTAAGAAAACCAAATTTCCTCATATTTGCGCATTATGGGAAAATTGCGATTTTTCACTTCTTTGCGGATTTTTTTCCTGGGAAGATAAGTTTTACTCAAACAGAATATATGCTCCAATACCCAGTGAAGTGCTCTTTTTAGAGATACCAAACATTGGACAAAAATTTATCTACAGCATTTGTAAGAGCTGAAAAAGCGACCGAACTTATTTATTAGCCAACCTAATATTTTCTCTTCTACATGTTTCATGAATAGAGAATTGTTTTTTTAGCCGGAAGGTTTTGCATGGGGCCTCATAATCGATTTTGAACATAAGATCATTGCTCATAAGCAGGTGGTTTTTGCAAATTCATATTCTTATCTCGCTAAGGAACAAATTCTGCAGAATGGGGCCAGTGTGATAGTGCAAATTGTGCTCTGCGATCTCACTTGGAAGGGTTTAGAAAGCTTTGGGTTCATTCAGTTACGGAGCAATTCATGAAGGTATAAAAATTACATGCTTTTCTTGGAACTGGGCTGATCCTTTCAATTCTCACGTTGAAAGGGTCTTTTTAAATTTAGTAGAATGTATTTCGTAGAAATTAGTTAGTACCTTCTATGACATAAATTTGAGCTTGTATATCTCAAGGGTTTCTTCGTGACACTGTTTGTAAAGTTGGCGCCGGCAATTTTTATGCTCTCTAGTTGTAATTGTATAGCAGATTTTGATTGTAGAATTTTATCTCAAAGTTATTTAAAAATGAAGTGTTAGGTTGTCCGGAATTTAATGCAGGTTTCTGCAGATGCATATTTAAAAGAATCTTCTTCTGTATATGTGCATCTTGCGACCAAATTCGCATACTGTAAGAATGCAGTCTTCATTCTCTCTCTTATATATAGTACTTCTACGATCAACTTCATTTGTTAAAATTCTACGGCTATCCAAAGATGAAGCTTTGGATTTACAAAATTCACCCTTTGCACTATTTCGGCTTGAATTTATTCGTCAAAGGAGTATTTCCACGATAATACAGCTGAAGCAAGAAGTTGAGTGAGCCTACAAAAAGAATAGTAGCGCTTCCTTCTAACGATTGTGAGAGCAGAGAAATTGAGGCTTACATGACCGATTGTCGCGGCCACTCCATGGCGTAGAAAGCTTTTCTAGAGAAAGCAACCTGAAAGTCTCTCCTCGGGCTTGAAAGTTTAGGCCAGTGCCGTCAGGTTATTTCAACGGTAGCTCCCATGCTTTATTTGCTGAGTCAATAAAAAAATCAAAATTATCGGAGATCGCAGCTGTAGAGAAATTATCAAAAAAATGAAAAAATTTTGATTCCGCAATTTTTTCGCTCGCAGAAAATCCCTCAAAAAATTTCCGCATAGCTATACATGTAGTGCTGGTCTGGTGTTAGGCAAGGGACAAACCTCACGCGAATTCAGTCGCCACGCGATCTGACAGTTTGCCATATGTCTTCAAATTCGATACTGGAAGATCTTAAATGCACAGCATGTATAACTTTCGCAGGTTGATAAAATGCCCTCTCTTCCGTACATTCAGAAACCCCGTAGAATGAGTTGTGAACATTTGGAGTATTGCCAAATCGCGTGGCGACTGAAATCGTGAGGTATGCCCGAGGCCTTATAGTGCAGAAGTTTCCCGCTAAACACTCATATCCGATAGGAGTTTACAATGTGCCAGCATAATCTTGTTGATGAATGTTGTTTTCTTACTTTCCTTTTTTCCAGTGATTTGTTGTTGGAGGTACAGGCATAAGTGAAAATGCGTTAGATAGATAAGGTTTGCTGATCACCGCGATTTTTACCTCATTTCAAAATATGCAATTTCGGAGGAGTTATGACACTTTGAAGTGAGAATTTGCGAAACCTGAATTTGCGAATTTCCGGGCAACCTAAGTTGAAGGTCCTAATACTCTTACGTTTGCCTCAGTATGGAAAAGTCACCCTATGTACAGTAAGTGTGGAGCAGGTTTACATAAATTTGGCAGAAAGTTAAGCACGCTCTCCTTTCTCATATTTTATATAATTCCATATTGTTCCTATCTCTTAGCGCATGAACGCATTATACCTGGAATCAAAACTTTTTCGAGTAGTCAAATATCGATTAGTATACAAAAATCGAAATCTTCGAATCGACTATCAAATAATATAAAAGTCGAATATAATATTCGGCTATCGAATATACTACGTAAATCAAACATTTCCAGTACTCTGTTGAATGTCACTGGACTTTCGATTATCATTCGACTTCCGGTAATCATTCGTATAAACTGGATGTCACTTAAATGACTGCCTATGAGAAACAAAACATTTGCCAGTAGGTTATTTCTTCAAGTATTATATTATGGACACTTTCTTAGGTTTTGACCATACATCACCAGTGTTATGTTACTAGTGTTCCCAAAGTTACTCATGTTGCTAGTGTTACTCTGTTACCCGTGTTTTACCCGTGTTGCCCGTATCACTTGCGTTACCCGTGTACCCGTACTAGAGTTACTCGTGTTACTCACCAATCAAAGTGATTGCTTTCTAGAATGAGACTGTAATTGTGATCATTTCACTACAGACCAGCTATGAAAGTTAACACTAGTAATACTA